CCAGACCCTGCCCCAGCTCCGTTGCCCTTCTCTGCCCACGCTCGAGTCACTCAATGGCCTTTTTGGGCTGAGGGGCCCAACACTGAACCCCCTCAGCGAGGGGCGGCCTCCCCAGTGCCGAGCCCAGGGCTCAGATCCCTTCCCTGGCCCTGCTGGCCAAGATGCTGCTGATAACACGGTTTCTGATAACGATGAGGCTCCTCTCTCCCACAGGCCCGTGCCTTCCGTTCACCTGAGGCGCGCTGTCGCGTCCCCCACCCAGCGGGTGCTGCCCTGCCGCCCGCCCGTCCCCGCGGCCCAGCAGGCAGGTACCTGTGAGGACGTCCCTGCAGCGCACCCCGCACACACGCTCCTTCCCGCCGGCCGGCTCCCTCGTCTTGAGCAGGCGCAGCACTTCAGTGTAATTGGCGGTGGCAGCGCCGTACCTGGCAGCGGTGAGGGCGATGGCGAGGTTCATCCGCGCATCGTTGTGCTGTCCTGCAGCGGGGACGGGACCAGGGAAGGACACCAGTCACCTCCAGCCATGAGCTCGCGGTATGGAAGGGTGTCAGAACCCATCTGTCACATCTGTCCCTGTCACGCTGCATAGGCCTGATGGCTGCTCCCGTCTAGCCAGGGTGATTTAAAGATACATCCCGCGTGCCATTCCCTCGGGACCCTCCCAGGCCGCGCAGCACCCACAGCCCCCGCACACCACAAAACAGAGAATTCCTAGGTGCTCCCCTCCAATTTAATAAAGGACAAATACCTGTTTTCTTTACCTTTCCCTGTGCAACCATGCTGTAATTCCGCAACTGTATCTAAGGACTGCTTTGACGGTCCAACCAGTATTAATCAGCAATTCCCATTAGCAAATGTACCACGCAACACTCAACATCCCAGAAACAACCTTTCAGAGTCTGTGCCAAATTATCAGCTTTCTGTAACTGTTTTTTCTCGTATATGCATCTTAACTTCCCAACATACAACATAAAAGCATCCAAAAAAAAAAAGAGAAATAAGTAGACAAGAATTAATGAAGGATTCTTAACATATATCATTAAAGATTTATTACTGAAATTCCCTCGTTAAAGAAAACCAAGAGAGAGGTGGAAGGACCATGAGGGGAAGATGATTAATTACTTTGAAATACTGGCTTCACCTGAGACTTTTCCTATTTATTATTGCCACCAAAGTTAAAGTCCTGGATGCTGGCTAGAAAGAATTACTATACATTGAAGGGACCAGGCTCTGTGTGTCCTGAATAATTAATTTACGAGAGCGCTAAACTTCCTGAGGTACGATTCACTTCCCCACGTGTCTGGACCACTTCTATCAAAGATAATACTGATAAAGTGATAAATTTGTAATAGATATTGTAGTTGATTTATGTTGCCAGCATTCCCAACGTTTAGTATAAATGGTTTATGTAAAGTTTGGTCCTTCTGATTCTGCCCGTGCAATCTCGAACCACTGCACAAATAATCTGTTCCTAGCTAAAAGGGCAAAGTTATAAAGATGGGATCAATGGCCTCGAAGGTGCCACCTCCCCTCCCCAAACTTCTCATTCTAACACAGCTGAGATGATACAGTGCAATCACTCTTCAACTCCAAGAAGAAAAGTTATGCGAAGCGTACAGAAACAGTAACATGATAAAGCACCGATGAAGAAACAAACAGTAACTCCAATTCAACCAAGCAAACAATGCCCAGAATAAACTGCAAAAAAGAACAGCAAAACAACTGAGCAAGATGTCAGGAAAAGTTGGGGATGCTCCATCACACAAGATGCATAAGACTAAACAACCATCTGTCAGAAACGGCAGGCAAATCATTAAATAAATGCATCAACATTTATGCTGCGGTAGTGTCAGGGAATGGGTAAAATGACCTCACGAGGTTTACTTCAAACCTTAACATTTTAACGCAGGGTTGAGAGAATGTACATCTCTTCACAGAGGGAGCCCTAGACAGCAAAAAGACGAAGGACAGCGACAAGCCGTGCTACGGGAGCAGCTCCTACACAAAGCAGAACACAGCACACATTCCGGAGAAATCCAGGAAAGGCTCCTTGGGCCCAAAGTCGAGGCTTTCCCAAGCGCCGTGCTCTGGAGACATCCCTCTTTAGCGGGGGACTGTGGGGTCCTGCAGGCTGCTCCAAGTCTTGGCTTTACAGGACGAGAAGCCCAGCACAAACCAGACCCCAGACAAGTGCTGTCTGTGCCCGAAGGGGACCCTGCAGCACCCGTGCCCATGCGGTGGGAAGGACCCCGGGGCCCAGAGGGCTTCCTTACTTTTTGATCCTCTTGATCCATTTGCCCCCAGTACAAACGTGTCTCCGCCAGCGTGGGGATTCACCACACAAAGGCAGCACAATTTACAGCGTCAGCCAGTATTAGCTTTGGTCTGTGAGAAGTCTTACTGCTTACATTTTCTGAGCTTGCCTCTTCCCAGTTTTGTGACTTATTTGTCCAGACCAAAAGCAATCCAGAGAAGCCAATCAGCAGAATAAATAACAAGGAAACAGGCACAATGTCTAAAAAGAACAAACATCTAAGGAACAATTGTTTACTAAGCCCCAAGTCCAAGAGCTGTTCAGCATTTTATTGAAACTCCTCATGCTCTTAATGTCTGAGTGAGCCAAGGATACGCTCGGTGCATTTCAGGGTTTGGACCACTGTGTCCAAGACAACATTTCAACATTCTCAGGCTTTCTCTGAAACTCATCCATTTTCCCCTCATCATTATTTTGATGTGAGAAACCTCTTGTTATTACTTAATGCTCAGCTGTCCAAAAGGAACTCGGAGTGCCTATGTAATGCATCTGCAGGCAGAGGACTGGGAAATAACCTGTTCCTGATTAACTACACATCTAGAAAAACCCACTGGCTTCAGACTGATGTGATCTACAGTGCGGAGTCCTGGAGTATTTCATAGTATAAACAGCAGAGATCTGTCGAGGTCTAGATTTGAAAGAAATGAAGAGTGACTTACCAGCTCAGAAATTTATCATCTGTGGAGAATAATACTGCAACAGTTTGGTAGAGATGGGGTCACAGTACAATAGTTTTTATACTCAGGAACAGCTTTTTTTTTTTTTTTTTTTTTTTAACTCACATGTGCACATTTTCCCCCAGACAATTACATTAAAATCCTGCACTTTATATGCAATTACCTTTTCCTCTTGATGCCTGAGGAAGTGGCTGCTTTCATGCACACTCCCCATTATAAAGGTAATGTAGCCAGATAGTTCAGAGCAGATACAGCACCACTCACAGCTGACAAAGCATATTTTCTGCTGATTAAAGTCAAACGAGCTATTTACACGTGTGCTAGTTTGGGATTGGGACTGTTTATTCCAAAGAGATTGGTATATGTCCTGGTAAAAATCCTTACCTCTAGAGAGAAACAAAAGGATGAAGCAAAGTGAAGATTCTGCATCTTGACCTTTTTTGACTTTTCAGTTAAATGCCCTTCTCCCCAGGTGAGGTTCAGAGATCCTCCAAACCCCAGATAAAAGCACCTCCACGCTTGGAGACTCCCTTTGTTCACGGAGTCCCATGGAGAAGACAAGTAATAATGGGTACAAGTTCCTCCTGGGGAGATTCCAGTTGGGCACAAGAGGAAAATTTTTGACACCATGAACAATCAGCCACTGGAATAATCCCCCAGGGAAGTGGTGGATTCCCCAACACTGGACCCTTTTAATGATTCAGCTGGACACGGGGCTGGGCCAGCTTGGCCAGACCAGGCTTTTGCCAAACAGAGTTGGATGCTGATCCTTGAAGTCCCTTCCCAGCTGGGATTTGGTGGCTCTGTGAACTTCCTCCAGAGCAGACGTGTAAAGCTTTGACACGAGCACTAGTGCCATGTCCAGGAGATGCCCGGCACACCCAAGGCACGGCTGTGTGACAAATGGCAAGGCACCAGCAGCTTCTCTGGGTGGGCCTGGACCACCTGCTTAAGACAGCTCTGCACCCACTGTCCTCCAAAGCACAACAAAGAAAAAAATTACTCCCCCTTGCTACCAGAGATCACCCCTCCAGGATACCATGGGGTTTTCTTCCCAATATTATAAGCCAAAAAAGTTACGACAACAGAATGGCTAAGCCCAATTAATCTGGCATGCTTTCCCGTGAGTGAGTCCGCTCCTGCAGATCTCACAACTAACCTGTAGGCAGTACAGTGGAATGACAATGACGACGTCCGCCAGCAGCAGATGCTCCCCGAGGCCCTGCCCTGGTGGGTTCGTGCTGGCTCAGCCCCGCTGCCGGCAGGCGCTGGTTTGGGGGGTGGGTGCCACTTGCCAGCGGGGTGCAGCCCAGGAGCCCATTGAGGGAACACACTGAGCTTGCTTTGCAGCTCCTCCCATCACCTCTCTCGAAAACACAAGGATGTTTAAATCCTTTATTTCTTGCTGGAGAAACTGAAAGAATCATCCCTCTCATTATTCACTACTGTCATCTGCTTGTAATAGAGTACCGACGGAGTGGTACTTTAATTTGTATTACGGGCAGTCAACCCAGCTTTTAAGAAAACACTGGCCTAAGTGCTTTCAGGAAATTAAGACTGAATCCTCTTTAAAAGCCCTTATTCTTAGAAGGCATACTGCTGAAGACATTTAGTGCGTGAAGACATTTTGTGTAAGTGTGTCCTACATCATGTTAAGACCAACAGTGATGCCATTTGGTTTATAATTTCTCCTTTTGTGTAATTTAGGAAAATTCTATTTTCATTCCTTAGTAGCAAATGTTGTAGTTCTTCAAAGACGAACAGACAATGCTTCCGTTGGCAGTAAAAGCATCCTCCCACAGAGTGCACATAGTGTACATTCAATTTTATTTTTATCTGTGCTGAAACCCAGCCAGTAGTGGTAACAAAGCCCACAGACTGTAGAAATTTGTTTGTGACTGACTCAGTAGAGTTGTGTGAAAACCCCAGTGTTAATAAGGCCCTCTGCTAGTTCTGGTATATTCTGTCCTGTGTCACACTCTGACACTTACTGCTTTTACACCAGTTCCTGCTTCCTCCTCTGCAGCTCTATTCAGCTGAAGACAAACAGCACACAGTACCCTGTGATGGCTTCTTTTTTTTTATTTTATTTTTTAAGAAGCTGGAAGCTCTTTTAACTCTTTTACCCTTAAAGGGTAACTTTTGTTCATGTTAACCTCTTTATGCTACGACCTAACACTTTGTTACCGAGTATACCTGCTGCATGGCAATTACTCACGTAACAATGCACGCAAGCACGGCAGCCACTGCCCCAAACACGCTCTGGCTCGTGCTGCAACAGCAGAGCTGGAATATGTGGTTCTGCAAACTTCTTGCTTTAAAGAACAGGATGGTCCCTGCAACAGACACAAAAGCCTTCTCACCTCTTCTCAAATTACAGCCTTTTCTGATTAGGCATATCTAGTTATTGCTGTGGAGGTCAAGTTTAATGGAGAGTTGGAAATTAGCCATGCAAGAAGCTGGATGACAGCTGAATGAACTTTCTC